AGAGAGTTTGCATTCTCAGTAACGCCGATGTTCATCAGAACGCTGGTCATGATCAGTTCAGTTATGCGCAAGAAGATGCATGCTACTCACCCAGTCCAGATCTTCCAGTCCTTGAGAAAGTGTAGCGCCTTCTTGAACGATATCTCATCGTCGGCTACATGGCCGCCATCAGCCTGGATGCGTGCAAGCATCAGCGCCTTCTCGTCGGGAGACAGAAACTTGCAGTGCTCGGGAAACGGCGGGACAATGGGCCAGCATGCTATGCTGACAAAGATAGTCACACAGCCCTCGATGATGAAGATCCTACCTCACGTCAGCAGGTATCCGTCGCAAGACTCCAGAGTTGACTCACCATCTCCACGCTCCATATCCGGCAGTTCCATCCATTCTAGCAATGAGTGAGGAAACGAACCCGTTGATCGCACCCGCAACGATACCTGCAGTGCAGAAAAAGACGTAGCGGGTTAAATATTCACGCTTCGAGTAGTATGCGCCGATCAAGTATGCCGCTCCCGAGATGTAGGCCGACTCGGCGATGCCTTCCAGCAGACGGCAGACAACGAGCTCCTCCCATCGCTTCACGAGTCCGCATCCGATCACGGTGATGCCCCAGCAGAACATCATCACGCAAAGACTCTTGGGCCCATACTTCTTGAAAGCGATCTGCAACGGGATGCCAGCGACGAGGTAACCCAGGTTAAAAACCCATACGGCGATGTTGAACCTCTGGCCGATGAGGTTCAGCTCCGTCTCCATGCCCTGGATCTTTGCATTCCCTATGTTGGCTCTTGGGGGCGAGTTAGCAAGGCATCGCAACGATCAAAGGTCTTTCAACTAGACTTACCGGTCGATGAAGTTGACCAAGTAAAGTATCCACAGCACTGGCAAGATTCGAAAGTCGAGCTTCCGGATGAGTTGCCTCTCCGCAGCGCGATCGAAGCCATGCTCGCTTGTTGACCCTGCTGGGGAAACCGATGAGTTGTCGACGTGAACTCCCTTCTCGACGATACTGGCGTCCGTCATGTCGACGGAGTGTGAAGAAGAACGAAGGAGGGGCGGTGCTACTGCTGCGAAACTGTACGAAGGAAATTATCAGCAACAGCTCTCGCTATGCAATGCGGGCAAGGACAAGGTATGCTGCAGGATATACGAGAGCTTACAAAAATTACGCCCGGTGAACATATACTTGCTCACGGAATGTACCCGCCGTTGCTTTGAGCATTGACTACCGGCAAGCACCCAAACTGTACAACATCGCCGCGCTTCGAGAATCCTCAGAGCTGGGCGAGGCTGCCGACGTGGTGTGACATTGCGGGCTGCTGTTGAGGACAATCGACCGACCTATCATCAACCTTCACCGCATTCAGTCCAAGGTCGATGAGTGATTGGCCAGGAGTTCGGGCAAGCCATGTGAAGGAGCGGCACGATGGATGCTTCGAATCACGATGGATGGCGCTAGTCGTGCGGGATTACAACCTGGTATCGAGACCCTGCAACCCCTCAGCCTGCGCGGGCTGGGTACCCACCTTGGCTATCGTGAACCTATCGAAATATAGTACTATCGGCAGATGGGCTTTATGCAGAGCTAGCGCGGCGGCAGACTCTTGAACACCCTAAGCGACCCGGCTCGGAACAAGGCTTCAGATTCCTCGCGAGGCGCACTAGGTGCGGCGCGGCGGCGCCTTCGGTCGCGGCGCTCCTCCCCGCCGCCACGGCCCGCAAAATGAAAGCTCGAACACGACTCAGACCATGATTAGGTCTTGGATTTTCCACCTTTGACCATTATCGCGGGTCGCTCGCCGAAGAAATTGCAGCTCCGAGAATTCAGCCTGCGCCAACGTCAGGATGTAGAGGAAGAGCGGGATTGTGCGCGCCCGTAGGCACATCTGCGACAGCGACACCCGCCACCAAGCTATCGCACAACCAACGTCATCATGGGAGCCTCAGAAGTAGTCCACGCACACTTGTTCTCTTGCCGTGATGGGACGAATGGACGGATACTCTTATGAACACGATACCGCCAAGAGTCAGCCAAGGTCTATCCTGCCGCCTCTTCGAATGGCTTACTTGTTCGAGACAGCGGGACGGGGCTTTCCACATGCGAGCCTCGTGCGCTTTGCATCGCAAACTGAGCCGCATTTCTACCCAAACAATCTCCGACACTTCTCGTCGCTCCCAGGATTCATTCCTGCTTTCAAGCTGTTACGTGAGACGAGTAATGCAAAGGTCACTATGCACCGTTCACTAACACATGTCCCGTCGCAATGTGACTAAATCACCTTGGAAGCGGCCTGAGGATTCGTGAAATAAGATGAGCACACGCAAACTGGTATGCTCGAATAATGGGAAGGATGAACCGCCCAAGGCGTCGGATCCATGAGCTGAGTGCATTTCCTTCCAACGCACGACGGAGTCTACTATAAGGATGCTCGCACAAGTTTTGGCTTGACTCATGCCTCTCGCATGCTCTACCTACTGGCATTACCTTTCTGTGTCACATGATCACCGACGATGATCTTCATCGCGTATCCAGAAGAGCAACGAGATTTGCAGTGGGTGACTGTAACGCTGACCGTCATCTCGACGCTCTTGTTGACGTGGCGCATATCCAGCACAATCACTAGCAGAGGATGGCTGGGTCTCGAGGATGCTTTTGTCATAATGGCAAATGTAGGTCTTTGCTCACGCTTCAAACACGGAGGTACTGACACTTTTAAGATCTGGCTTGTTCTTCTTGCGGCATTCATCTACAAATCGACAACCTATGGATTTGGCATGCATGTTGCGGATGTCCAGAGAACTGGTGGTAGTGTCACAGAAGCGCTAAAAGTAAGAATAATGTCTTACCAAATATTCGCGTGTCGAACTAACATTTCCGTTGCAGTTCTTCTGGTTGACACAGTCCCTATATACGCTCACCAACGGTTTCAACAAGATGGCCTTCTTGGCGTTATACTACCGCTTGTTTCCCATGAAGCGCTTCCGACAAGCATGCTTGGTACTGGGGGCCATATCTGTCGGCTGGACCATCTCCTTCGTCTTCGTGTGCATTTTCCAATGCACACCGGTACCTCGCGTATACAACAGGAAGTTGGAAGGGACATGCATCAACTTCATCTGGCATCGGTATGTCGCACTATGGCCGAGATGTTCCTACGCTGACTGTTGGAGTAGCTGGTCGAATGCAATCCTGAACATCCTGACGGATCTCGCGATCTTTCTGCTTCCCATGCCGATCATATTGAAGCTGAACATGTCGATCGGCTCGCGCATCGGACTCGTCGCTCTCTTCTCAATAGGATTCTTCATCTGCCTAACCACTGCGCTGCGCATGGCGGCGTTGCCATTGAGTCTCAAGGCTACGGAACCTACTTGGGAGTCTGCACCAACGAACCTGTGGTCTTTCATCGAAGCAGCTACCGGGGTGATATGTGCCTGCTTGCTCAGCCTGCGCAAGAGTATCGGCGCATTATGGCCAAAGAAATGGAGGAGCAACAAAGGAAACAGCGGTGCCTATCAGCAGTACGGGATCAGCGGATCAGGCGGCCTCGGGCTGGGAGTGTCGCGACCGCGCAATGGGACTGGAGCTCGCAACTCGTATGCAATGAGCGGGTTGCGCAGCGGAGCGAAATGCAGGATGGAATCGCTCGGCGACATTAGTCCAAGTGAGAGTCAAGAGCGGATCATGGAAGGCTCAAAGACAGTAGCGCAGGTCACCACAAGTCGACCGCGCAGTAGTCGCAGTGTGAGTGAGGATCTGGGGTCGCCGGGCATCAGAGTGACCACCGATGTCCAGGTCGTTAGGGAATGACGGCCCAAACCCACACGGCGATGCAACCAACCTACGGGCGTCAACACACATATTATCAGATGCAACTGTACTATATTGTACTCGGAGCCGGGATATGCCCCAATCAAACGCTGATTCTCAACCTTTGCTGAAACGCTCGCGACGTCGCCACTAATCGAAGCCAGAGCACTGTGAGCTGCAGTTAGCCAGCGAATCTATGCCCAATACGGTGGGGATGCAGTGGCATGTTCTTGCAAGCTCTGCCGTGCCGCCTCTCGAAAAGACGATTCTTACAGTAAGCGCCAGCCCCACATCTGGTGGGCCAGCTCGCCATCCCGCAGACATGTGCCAGGGTGGCTCGAAGGCCGCCTAAGTGGCCGCAGGGTACTTATGAAGCATGCAATAGCGGCTCACAGGTCGATATCCACGCAGTATTACTGCTTGCAAGGGCTTCGCACTTGATCGACGACACATACATCTAACAACTCTATCACGATGACCGAGCACCGCTCATTAAGCCTCGCGATCGTTGGCGGCGGCATCGCTGGCCTCACGTTGACTATCGCAATCCTCACTAAATGTGCACGCATCAGTGTCGCCCTCTACGAGTCCGCCGAAGCCTTTGGCGAGATAGGCGCAGGTGTCGGCTTCTCCCCGGTTATGGTCCGCACAATGGCCCTCATCGATCCACGCATCGCGGAAGCATTCGTTAAATGTAGCAAAGGCAACACGGTTACCGACCCACCGAACTGGTTCCACGTGCGCGTGGGAGATCAGAGAAAGAAGAATGTCAAACTGGGGGAAGAAATCTTTGTCATACCAGGGAGGAAGGGACCGGGAGGGGGCGTGCATAGGGCTCACTTTCTTGACGAGCTGGTCAAACTGGTACCAGAAGGAGTGGCGCAGTTCAAGAAGAGGGTACTTGAGATTACCGAAGCAGACGACGGCTCCGGCGATGCGATCTTGCACTTTGCCGACGGGTCTACTGCGCAGCACAGTGCGGTGCTTGGGTGCGACGGGATCAAAAGTCGCGTGCGATCTATCGTGCTGGGTGATTCGGATGCAGCGAAGGCGGTCTTCTCAGGAAAGTACGCCTATCGGGGACTATTGCCCATGTCGGAGGCGGTTGAGATCTTGGACAATGAGACACCAAGAACGCCGCAGATGTATATGGGCTACCATGGGCACGTCCTTACGTTCCCCATCGCTAATGGAACGTTGTTCAATGGTTTAACAACTCCGCTCATTCGTCGATTCAGCTAACAACTTACAGTTGTCGCCTTCTCTTCGCGACCCACATGGGAAGATCAGAATTGGGTCGTCCCAACATCCCGCGAAGACATGCTCGAGGACTATAAGGACTGGATTCCTGCCGTGCGCAAGATCATGGAGAACGTCCGGAAGCCCGACATCTGGGCGCTATTCAACCACCCACCTGCATCAATCTACTACAGCGCTAAGCCACTCATCTGCCTAGTGGGCGACGCCGCTCATGCATCGACACCGCACCAAGGCGCAGGTGCAGGAATGTGTATTGAAGATGTGTACGTCCTGAGCGAGCTGTTGTCGCAGTGTCATGCAAAGACTACCCTCGAGACGGTATTCCACGCATACGACGCTGTTAGAAGGCCGCGCAGCCAGAAGCTGGTCAAGACCAGCAAGGAAGCCGGTATGTTGTGGGAATTCGAAGGAGAAGGCGTCGGCGACGATTTGGAGGCGCTGCGGATTAATGCGCAGACCAGGATGGCGTGGATTTGGGATCACGAGATATCGAATGACCTGAAGGAAGCAAGGCGGATTATGCAAGAGGGCTTGCCGAATACTCCGTAGCCCGAGATGCTGAGATCACCAAGTCACGACAATGTTCGACACCTACCTACCAAGAACGACAGGAGTCAATGATCCAGAAGTCTACAACGCGTTGAGATCAAACGAACCGTCTATTTTGGTACTAACGCGGCCGGCAGCGCGCCTCTTCGATGTCTCCTTTTGCGTGGGATGCGGAGGTGTCGCAATACCCGAAGACATGCATCTTCGCAGCCACACCGTCCAGGCTCCAGCACGTTTCGCTTCATGTTCCGTTTTCCAAATGGTCTGGTCCAACGGTAGCCGGTTATCGCTTTGCGACCAGAAACGGATGTCGTTCCAGGAAGCCGCTGGGATCGACTGTGCCGCACAGCCTCGCTACCACACTACTTTATAACTTACCCCACGCTCGACAGAAGACGATGCATGAAATCACAGGCGCGCGGCCTCGCTCCTACGCGACAAAGAACCTGGTATGCTACGCTGCGCCTAGCGTTCGCCCAGTGAGGGACGGAGAGGTTGCAGCCTGGCCAGCTACTTCGTCTCAGGGGCGTCGAACACAGCCATGGCCGTCCAGGTTCAGCACACTCAAGCGGAGGTGTGCGGGTGTCATGGGAGGCGCTGCGAGGGCCAACGAAGACTGCGCTGATGAGTATAACTAGACTTGGGCGACGCCATCCAGCGTTAGAACTCCAGATCATCACGACTTTACATTCGATACTCATTGCGCAATTCGTCCCTGATACTCCAAAAATACATACCCTTTCAAGCATGCCTCTTGATGTGACCAACCTCGGAACCGTCGCTGGCCGCCGATGGGACCCAGAGGCGGTGCTCAAGCTTTCCCTCGACAGCCGCTGCGTTGGATGGGCGCCCTCACGTGGTCGCAAGTGCCGCATGCCTATACGTCAAGACAACGCACACCGGGTCGAAATGTTGGTGGTTGATTTGGCGAACCAAAGTCCAGACCCTGAGCGACTCCGGCCAAAACTTCAGCGCCTTGCTGAGCATGGCTTGTGTGTTCGTTTCCATCAATACCAAGTCGACAAGATGCTAGACCGTTGGATGAAGCGGATGTGGGAGGCGTTCCCTAGGCGTGACCGAGTAGAGGAACGGATCGACGCGACGTCGGAGCGGGTGAGGCAGCGGCCTGGGTCTGAGATAGGTAAGTCTTCTACTGCCCACCATACAGCGCAGCCGTCTAAGAATGCCTCAGTCGTCGCAACATCGGAGGCAGAGCTTGCTGCACGTGCCGAGGTCGCTGCGCTACAAGAATCGCTTCGTGATGCTGAGCGCCGCATTGAGGAGCTTACGGTTCGTCGAGCTGCCATCGAAAGCATGGCGCAGTTGGAATCTCGTCTTTCTCGTATAACGACATCGAACGATCCGCCTTTGTCGTCTTCGCCGCCGGATATCCTCTCGAATCTGCGCATCCGAAGGAGCTTTGCACCTATTCGCCCTGTTCTCACCGCAGCGCCGGGTCGAGTGAGAAGCCCAACGACTGCGGGCGCGCGACCGCCGTCTAGCGACTCGTCAAGCGATTCGTCCCGCGAGGCACCAAGCCCAATGTTGCCGCACCCACCCTATATGATGCGGAGGCTAGCAAGACATGCGCGAAGACCCACAGCGGCCGGCAGAGAACCTTTGTCCAGTGCGTCGTCCAGCGGATCTTCCAGCGAGGTACCAGGTCAAGCGTTCAGCGATACATCCGGCGAGGCCTCGAGCGTGACTGTGCCACAGGTATCACCGGGCTTCACGACCTCAACACCTCGTTGTGCTCGTTCGCATGCCCGCCGTCTGCCCTTCGACGATGAATGCCCCATATGTCAAGAAGGCGACCTTCTCTCCCAGTACGATCGGTCGGAGGTTGTGTGGTGTGAGTCCACCTGCGGAAGGACTCTCCATAAAACATGCTTCGAGGATTGGCGTAGGCAGTGCTACTTCGACCACCGGGACTTCACGTGTCCTGTGTGTCGCGGTGACTGGGAAGAGCGTTCATGCGAAGCGTGTGACCTGATGCAGGTGCGCAGGCAAAAGATCGAAGGGGATTGCGCTATCTGTTGCCATGCGATGAAGAGAGACGCGCCGGAGGGCAGGGAAGACCTCGTGTGGTGTAAAAGCTCGTGCGGGCAGAACGTCCACCGAGAGTGCTTCAATAGCTGGAAGGAGCATTGCGATGCTGTTAGAGGAAAAGTCGCGACTTGCGTGCATTGCAGGACGTCGTGGCGTGAGGAGTGTGATGGCTAGGGAGCAAGGGATGTGCGAGCGCGGAGTTTCGGCCTTGCCTTCGGAATGGCCTTCCGATCGGAGCAAGCACCTCGCATCTCCACCTGATGGGCCTACCTCGCGCCTGCCCCAACCGTGTATTTAAGAGCTCGAATCAAAGCAAACGTCTCACTTAGGCAGTCATCACCCTCGAAATATGACCATGTACATGTCCATGAAGGGAAGCCGTGCCCACGTACTAACTGCGCTGTCATCTCATGCGGGCCAAGTCCCGCGAAGCTAGGCAACAGCCGCCTGCTTCATCCTACGCTCGTCGAGACATCATCGACTGACCACATCAATCCAGGAAACGATTGAGCACCCCGGAGTCTACATCAACGTCACGTCAAACACTTTTGCATCTTCTCATGTCAATTTAGTCTGCAATGGCACTCTGTAACATATGCAAGGCCCTGCCTATTCGCAGCATGCTCAAACTTGCCCGGGGCGACATCGACGTCGATGACCATTTCCAGTGGTTCCCATTACCCAAATCCTACTACGAAAAAGAACCATTCGCCAAATGGCACAATAGCCTGTCCGATCTGCAGAAAAGTGCAGGCCGATTGTGCACATTCTGCCATTCCGTCTTCAGCCGCCTGAGTAACAGCTACCATTATCATACAAATTGCAAAGACCTCGACGAAAGACTATGGCTGCAGGCGCGCTTAGAATCGGGCCGCTCGGCTGGATTTAGCGTGTACATGGGCGAAAAGATGCCAACTGTACGTCTCAGCGGCAGGTTCTGGTACATGTCAACACCAGATAGTGCCGTCGCAGACTGCTTCAGGGAGCACGAGATCATTTCTGACTCGCTACATCCCTACGTGCTTCAGAAAACATCAGCATGGGTCAGCCAGTGCGACAACCACCATGCGAGCTGCCGACAATCGACGCAAGAAGCGACCTTGCTACCCACACGCCTTCTGGACCTCGGCTCACTGCCTATAGGCGCAGACTTCGAAGGCATCCGCGGTGATCCACGGTTTCTACTCGAGAACACATCGCTGAAGCTAGTAGAACTCCCCCCAGCCAGCACAGGCCGGTACATCGCCTTGAGCTATTGTTGGGGAAAAGGCCTGCCTATCACGACCACATCGAAGAACTTGGAAAAGCATAAAGAGAACGATGGAATAAAGTATATGAAGCTACCCTCAACCCTCCAAGATGCCGTCTTCCTCACCAGGTATCTGGGACTTCGATACCTCTGGGCAGACTGCCTCTGCATCATACAAGACGACAAAGCGGACTGGGAGAAAGAAGCATCTCGAATGGCTGATGTGTACTCCAACGCGTACCTCACAATCGCGGCTACGCGTGCCAGCCACTGTGGCGAGGGCTTCCTGCAACCGCGCAAAGCCAAAGACCGACACGTCGTTACTTTTACGGACGCAGAAGGGTCATTCGACCTGTTCGTTTATTATGACGATCTGACTATGTCCCCTGGCTCGATGGAGTCTGTCATCGACCAGTCGATCAAGATGCGAAGAGTAAGCTTCAATTCCCCCAAGAGACCAGTAAAGATTGGACACCCGGGCGCCTGCACCGACGCTAGGTCATCTACATTGCATGTTGTCATGTTGATGTAGCCTCCAGGCCTCCTCCTTTTGTGTCACATCATCTGAAGCTAACGCTGCTTAGGAAGAGCCTCTCTTGAGCCGAGTGTGGGTTCTCCAGGAACGTGTCCTGGCACGCCGCACGATACACTTCGCGAGCTACCAGATGCAATGGGAGTGCTCAGAGCAAGTCGTTACCGAGGATGGATACATCGAAGACTATAATGCCTGTGAGCAGATCTCGTTGGAACGGATCGCGCAGGGTCTCAAGAGTGTGAAAGAAACACCACTGATACAACATACCCAGCAATCGAAGGATGTAGAGGCTTTCTGGGCTTTCAACCCCGCATGGCGCGTGTGGTCGCGGTTGATCGAGGAGTACACATCCCGCAATATGACCTTCCAAACGGATAAACTACCCGCACTCTCTGGTGTCATCTCGGCGCTACAGAAGCTCACTGGCGATGTCTGCCACGCCGGTATCTGGAAAAGCTGGTTCCTTCAAGGCTTACTCTGGCGCCTGCAGATACCCAGCTGGGATGAGTACGTCTTCTTTCCCAAGACGCCACAGAGACCCGACGTCTGGAGAGCTCCGACATGGTCCTTTGCGTCTGTTGAAGGCGTTGTAATCTATAATGCGCTTGACAATGACCCTGGTCGGGAAACTTGCGCAGAACTGATTGAATGCGACGTCTGCCCTACGGGGGTCAATCCGCTCGGAGAGCTCACTAAGGGATATGCGAAGATCAAAGCACCGGTCGCCGCAGTGTTCGATGTATCGCCCAAGGTAGAAGAGACTGGGAGAGGATGTAAAGTCTGCATGACGAATGGCAGAGTTGCGCAGGGCCCTGTGTGGTTCGACGTTGAAGTGCACAACTCTTGCCAAGTGCTTATGATCACGCCTCACACGGGCATTGCTATTGTACCAGTCAATGTGGCTGAAGGAACGTACAAACGAGTCGGAGTGGTCACGGTGTTCAGGTTTGACGAATCCACAAGCGAAGCTTCCAGTTGGGACGCCACGGCCTTCATGAGCCGCGACACGTCGATTTCGGCGTCACACTATTCAAGTCCGGAGATCATCACCCTACTATAAGGCTCGGGGGCCGAGAAGTTTAGTCTGTATATGAAAAGGAAATTAGAGGTCGTTGGTATGTTGCAGGAGTAGCTCCTTTTTGGTGAGTTCACTCAAGTCGACATATTGAACAGTAGTGCGACTCACGATCACTGGGCTAGACGAAGCATGAAAGAGTCTGTCTACATTATCATTTACTGTCTAGCCACTTCGAAGTGCTCACCCAGCACGATATCAACGGCCTGTTCGGCGATTGCGTAGACCGGTACCTGGTAATGAGCCGCAAGAGGCTTTGGAATGACACTCGCATCAGCTACACGCAAGTTCTTGACCCCAGACACCCTCAGCGATCCATCAACAACGGTCCCCATCGCTGCTGTCCCTGCAGGATGATAGGTGGTACTCGCGCCCATCTTGAGTCTCGCGTCGATTTCTTCGTCAGACTTCCCCGGATAGCCTGGCGGAATGTGTTCGTATTCGACAAGCATCTTACCCTCAGCTGTATCCAACATCAGCTCGGATTGCATACGGAAACCCTCGCGCAAGACGTAGCGATCTGCTTCCGTAGCGCAGTAGTTTGGGTCGATGATAGGATTCGCTGACGGGTCAGACGATGCAAGCGTCACCGAGCCTCGCGACGTCGGAAGACAGCCCATGAAAAAGGTCATGATGGATGATCCGTCCATCGGGATACTAAGACCCTGCGCTTCTGCTCCGACGGCAATGTACATGAGAAGCATCTCGAGGTGAGTGCGTGGGCCCTTGAGCAGTGGGTGGTTATCAGATACCGGGCCCTCATCGCGCTCGATGGCTGCCTTCAGTGTCCCGACTTGGTGTATAGGCGCGCGAACCAAGAAGTCTACCGGCCCCCCTCTGTCGTAATTTAGACCACCGAAGAGCGGCGAGCCGATCGCTAGACCCTTCTCTGGGTTTCGCAGCTTCCAATAACGGTACATCATCAGATGATCATGCAGATTCTGGCCGACGGCTGGGAGGTTGGACACAACTGGAATGTTGTGCTGCGCTAGCTGGGAAGGCTCTCCAATGCCAGAGAGCATCAAGACTTGGGGCGTTCGGTAGGCGCCCGCGGTTATGACGACTTGGCCGCCTTCGTTAAGATCAATGCGTTCGCCATCTGTGAGCTCGACGCCGACTGCCGTATTCGTATCGTCGAATAGCACACGCCGGACGATGGTTGATGTGCGCACTTGGACACCGTGAAGCGGGTACACGGAGTGCGCCATCTGCCGTTTGCCGTCCTGGAAGTTCTCAACGAGATCGCTGATGCCTTGAGGACGGCCGTCGTTCAGGTCATGAATATGTGGTATGTCGAGGTTCGACCAAAGCTTATGGACGGTTTCGCGCAATGGGTATATACGGCCGGTAGAGGTGACGGATGCCGTGTGCACCGGACCGTCGTGCCCATGCTGCGAGGGATCCGCATCGGGGTCGAAGTGCCTTTCCGTGCGCTTGAAGTATGGCAATAGGCCGTCGTAGCTCCATCGCGGATCGTCAACATCGCGTGCCCACTCGTCATAGTCCTGCGCATCGCCTCGAATCCATCCACCTAACACAGTCAGCTGGTCGCGCGCACCTGCAGTCACCATGTGTACCGTTGTTGATAACGCTGCCGCCGCCAAGGCCTCTAAAGCCTACATTTCGCTTGGGCTTCCCATCGAGATGCTCTTGAGGTGCTGTAGAGTAGTTGTAGTCGTACTGGGAGAAGTGGAGGTTCGCGGCCGCGGCTGGTATGGTAACATGTGGATTCCCAGTAGGATCGGGACCGGCTTCAATGAGTACAATGGATAGCGATGGCTTCCTCTCGTGCAGACGCGAAGCGACTACGGTGCCAGCGATTCCGCCGCCTACGATGATGACGTCGGCCATTGCAGACTCAGCTTGTCCACAGTGCGAGGAAGCGGGTCGGAAATGCCACTGAATCAGCTATATATACGGTGTAGCTCGCATTATAGCACTTGAAATAGGCGGGGCGTATGGGCGTATGGGCGTATGCAGTCAGCCGCAGCGATCCAATCATACATTCCGTTGTCACGGCGTAGCCCACATCGATGTGCACGACAGGCCAAGAGACATTGGTCAGCCGATCCATCGGTATCTTCTAACAGCCTGTTATCATATCCATCGCCCTTCCTTGTCCGCGGCTTCGGCCGGTACTACGATGTTGTGTAGGAGGATCGGCCGGTCAGGTACGCTGAGACCAAAGACGGGACGTGTGTATCGCGGAGGGCGGTGAAGTGTCGGTACACGAGACATCGCGTGATGTGAAGTATAGGACTTTGCTCGCATGTGCCGCTTCGAAGTTGATTGCCCTTACTATGTGTTCACAAAGTCAGCAAACAGCTGAGCAATAAGAGTGAGTGTCTTGAGCTGGAACGACGTGTCAGCGTCCCACGCGCGGGCAGCGGATACCATGCCGTCGATGTTTTACTGGTAATTGCCCGACTTCCTCTGCGGCCTGGTCCAATAGTGTCCATGTTGGCAAGGGGGCTTAAGTTGCTGTGCGGTAGAGGTACCAGGTGTGCTATCGGAATTATGCCTGAGGCAACCGCAAGATCCCTATTGCTCTGGCTGAAGGTTTGAATCGCGTCGGAGTAACATTGTGGAAGCCGTGTGCCGTCTCAGGTCTGGGTGGCATTGACATGCAGGGCGACTGTGTTCGTGTTGAGAGCGACACAATGTTTGACTAGCCGGATGACGCATCGGAGCTACATAACGCCGCGCCGCGTGTTCTGCCAGGCACACGCTACCCCGTCAACACCTCATCTTCATCCCCCCATCCAGCTCCTCTTCAAGGAGAACGACGATCGAGTATCCATAATAGCTGTCGGTACCTTCACAAAATAACGCTGTGGTCGAGTGTTCATGCGCGTGACGTTCGCGTCCTCAACTTGCGCAGTCGGGAACGCGACCCAGGCTTGAGCTCCGACGATACCGCGTAGCGCATGCTTCGCTCGGTACACTCTCGATATCGAATACAAAGCCCGCTGCGTACTTCGCTGTCTCGAAAACGCAGCTTGTCCGCAAGAATGTCCCGATACAAAGTCCGGCTCAGAACGACGTCCATTCTCTTCTAGGTTTCACCAGGTTTAAAGTCCATCAAAGCGGGTATCAAGGGCGTGCAGGGCATCACGCACGTTGCAGCCAACGCCAATCCCCCTCCCAAGCTTCCTGAGAGCTATGGGCTTAGACAACGTCGCATGGGTCCCGTAAACTGCAGCCGCGTCATTGCGATTATGTTCAGGCTCGACCGTGAGTAGCAATATACGCCGTACACTCGATACGGACCACCGACCATGATCCATGACAGACCCACATGGCCGCGGCAGTGCTGGTGCTGGGTCGGTGAAACGTGAACGGATCTTCCCGAGCCCATATTCGGATTTCGATGGCGCTAAACTAGAACGCTGGTTAGTCAGCGTATCCGTATTCAACGCTTCAAGACCCTCTCGCCGCTATCCGTATTCCCGCCTCCACGTATTTCTTTTCATCGTCCTTTCGCCAATTACGTCGCATTCGCCAAAGTCCGCCATGGCTCCGCGTAAGGTTCTGAGAAGATCGCATCGCAAATCTAGGAACGGTTGTCAAGAGTGCAAGAGACGCCACATCAAGGTACGCGACGGCATCGTGAGCGCGGGTACCTGCATCTGCTCGCGTAGCATTAGGGAATAAACCATACTGATCGTTCTAGTGCGATGAGGCGCAGCCCACGTGCGAGAATTGCGCGCGCGATGATCGTACATGCACGTACTCAAGGCCACCAGACCCATCTCAACGCGCGGTATCCAGCCAATCGCCATACGCGGTTCCCGAGACCACATCAGGATCTTACTTCGGAACTCCAACGTCGCATGGCGTGCCGAGTACTGTGGAACACAGCAGTACGGTGTCACCAGCCGTGACGTCTTCCGTGGACCTGTCTTTCCTCTCTCCGGCGGCGTCGTCACCGCATGGCTCGGACCTCTCTTTCAGCTTGCGACATATGCAGTTGCTCAGCCACTTCATCTACGAGACGTTGCCAAGCCTCGCAGAAACAGGGTCGATAGACGACACGCAAGCACGTGCTCTTATGCCAGCGATTCTGTCAGAGCCATATGCCATGTACCAAGTTCTGGCCCTCTCCGCCATGCACATGAGCTACCAACACCCTGAAGAAGCAGACCGACATCGCGAGGAGGCTAGAGCTCTCCAAACTCAGGCGTTATGCACCTTCAATAGTGCACATATCGAAGTCACGCCAGATAACCTTGTGTCTATCATGTCATTCTCCACCATGACTGGCTTGCACGCCCTTTCAGAAGTCGCTGGGAATGCCGAAGTGGGACCGGGTGGAGTCCTGGATGGATTCGTCACGTACATGAACTTGCATCGAGGAGTTCGAGCCATCATATCGCAATCCTGGGGATTCTTGAACCAGACCAGCGTTGCTCCTCTTTTCGAGCGAAGCACGAGTGCCATTCATCATGCCATATGTTCGAACGGACAAACAGCAGTAGCAGTGGCGGAGCGCCTGTCAAACTTACTGGACCATGCGGATATGAGCGAGGAATCTCGACAGACTTGCAGTGTGGCTGCATCTGAGCTGACAGTCGTATACCAGACAGAGCCTGACGTGGAAAAGCCGTCAAATCAGCCGCCTGGAACTGGTTTAATCTGGGTGTTTCCAATTAATCTCTCGAGCGAGTTTACGGCACTTTTGTCTATGCGCAAACCGGAAGCGCTCATTATTCTGGCCCACTACGCGGTTCTTTTGCATCGTAGACGCCGGGTGTGGCTGGTCGGCAACGTCGGCAGAGTACTAATCGAAGAGATTTCGAGATTCTTGGGCAGCTTCTGGAAAACTTGGCTCGACTGGCCGAACGAGGTACTTTTGCAACCCTAGCGCGATACGTAGCCAACCAGCGAATACGTCGTATACCATGACTCGTATTCGTCCCCATCCACGCATCGACCACCAAGCGGACTCGCCTGTCGTACCAGAGTACCTACAGTAGGCATCTCGG